TTTTTTTTTATTTTTTTAATTGCTTAGCATTTTTTTCTTCTAATAATTCGTTGTTTGATATAACCGTTCACTAAAAAATTAGAACAAAATAAAATTTAATACTCAAAAAAGATTTTAAGTATTATTTTAATTATAAATATACATTTTTTAATGATTATTTTTATATTTACAAAATATTTAATGACTAAAGTCCTTTAAACACTTGACAGATTTAATTTTGAGTTTAAGAAGTTAGTATTATAAATATATGGTCATTAATTGGATTGTGATAAAACCAGAGGGTCTAATAAATGAACGAATTAATTTTTTTACTGGGTAAAGGGCTTCTGATGGATCCAATAGTTGACCGGTCTTAAAATAATATTAAAACTTATAATTTAACTTTATTTTTTCAAAAAAGTTGGAATCTGATCTTTAATTAACATAATAAAACTAAAATATTTTATATTATGCCGATAAATATCACTAAATTAATTATGAAATGCACTCACTATCCAATTGTACGGTAGTTATTTTTGACCGCTTTATGGCTGGTTGCGTTGTAAACAAACTTAGAATATTTTTTTAAAGCTATAATCACTGCGCAATTAATTGCGTAATTTTTTATTATGATGATTAAATGCCATATTTTTTTATTTTAATACTTTAAGAAAAAAAAACCCTTGTAAAATATTAATTAATTAACTTTTTTATACATCGGTCAACTAATTGGTGACCGGTCAACAACTGGTGCATTTACCCTAATTTATTTGTTAAAAAAATTATTAAAATAATTAAATATCTGGAAAATTATTTTTCTTATTAAATTTGCACAATATTTAGTTTATCAAATTATAAATTTTATTATTTAGTATGTATATTTTCTTAAAAACTAGTGAGTAAACACAAATGGGTGCCATTAGAAATTGATATTGCGAAAAACAGAGGAAAAAGAGAACGTTCACCAAAACATCAAAGGGAAAACAGTCATAGAGAAAGCAATCATAGTCATAGGGAAAAAAATGACGAATGTAAGTTTTTTTTTGTAAATTAACAGAGGATGCTCAATTGTCTAGTTACTGTACGCACGAATCACTGTTTTTTTTATTATATGTATCTTTAAGGTCCTGGTTGAAAGGTGAATCCAAATATTTTAAATGTATGCAGTTCAAGGGAAGTAATTTTAAGGAAAATATATTTATAAAATTTTGTAATTATTTTACAGGATTATCAAAATCGTTAAGGGCATCCTCTGATTCAAGTTATTTATTATCCGAGATGCTGTTAGTACTTAATTAGTTAATTAATCTATCGATTGTTTCAGTTAATGAAGAGAGTCACAGAGAAAGAGATTACGAGAGGTCCAGTCACCACGGGTACAGAAGTGCACGCGGTGGATCTAGAAGTTACCGAGGACGAGGCAGAGGTCGTCACAGTGGACGAGGAGGTTACAAACACAGAAGTGATATTGAATATCCGGAATATCCTGTTGAACGTACACAGGTAATTTTTTTTTTTTAGATAATTTATTTTATTTTATTAATAAATAAAATAATTTTTCTTTAATTAAATTCTAATTAATTTTATATGTATATTTTTTTTTATTATTTATTTATTTATTCAATTTAAACGCCAAGACGAAAGCCACATGGCAAAAATTATACAGAAATTATAAAAATTGAAACATATTAATTAAAAAATTTATAACTTATTAAAAAATTATATAATAAATTAAGTAGAAAAAATAAAAAAACTATTTTATTTACTGATTAATGTTAAAAAATGTTTTATTTATTTTTCAGCTGAACAAAGTTGCTCACGCCGATCCGTCATATATGATGCCTTATATGGGAACATTTTATTTCAATAACACGAATTACGTAAACTTAGATACTACAACTCTTAAAGAATATATTAGAAAACAAATGTAAGTCCAAATTTTTTATTTTATTATTACTAGCATAAGTATAAATATAAATGTAAAAAACATCAATGCTTGATTATGATGATTCCTAATTTTTTTGTCTTCTTTTCCCGGCATAGATATCATGCTGATAAACTTAGATCTGAGTTCAAGCTTTATTTAATAATTTTTATTGAATTACAATTTTATATAAGATCTAATTTTTACTGATTGAGAAATTTATGCCTTGCAGAGAGTACTATTTTAGCGAAGAAAATCTTATGAGAGATTTCTTCATGCGCCGTAAAATGGATGAAGAGGGTTTCCTGCCGATCCACTTGATTGCGACTTTCAACAGAGTTCAAGCGCTTACTACCGATGTTACTTTGGTGATCGCGTCAATCGTCGAGTCGACTAAACTCGAGATGATCGATTTCATAAAGGTATGATAATAACTTAGGCTGGATTTAAAAATTATCTCTAGACACAAAATTAAAAAATACCCTTGTATCTTGTGAATTATTGACATTTTTGAAGATATAAGCTCACCCTGACATTACACTCATCGAGACCTTTCATTTGAGTACTCACATCAATTTTTCATATATTTTATATATTTATGTATATATATATGTATATATGAAAAATATATCAAAAATGCATGTGGGTACTTGAATGAAAGCTCTTGAAGAGTGTAATATCGAGATGAGCTTATATCTTTAAAAACATCAATATTTAAGAAATTACAATGTATTTTAGCAAAAGTCATTATTTAATAATGCAAAATTTAATTTATTTATAGTTCACAAGTCTCGGTAGTCATATAGTGACTGCAAGGCTGCTAGGAAATTAATATTTCTTTAACTTGAAAACTTTTAAAATAAAATTTTTTTTAATTTTAAATAAAAAATTTATTCCATAAACTGTCGCACATTGTTATAAAAAATTATTCTATTAATTATTAGAATAATTATCACAATAGTGCTAAAATAATACAGAGCTTCGCGAACATCATGAGAACAAAAAATTCTATGAATGATGTTTGGTAAAAACTCTCGTTACATTTTTATAAATATTTATATATTTTTTTATAAATATAATAAAATAAAAAATAAAAATTTTTAATAAATAAATTTTTATTTCTAGGTGCGAACTGTCAATAATCCACTAAGGTGGCCGATTGCGTGGCATAAACAAGACTCAGACGAGTATCTAGAGTCAGACGGTCATCTTATGATTGCACAACCAGATATGTGTTCACTAATTACGCCTCTTGCGTCAGAATTTTGTCCAGCAGCCACACCTCTTTCTATAATACCAACACCGCCAATGCCTCGTGTTATTCAACCGGTACCGAGACTGAGCGAGTCTGAAAGTATCTCATCGTCGTCTGGTGAAACTTTGAACCCCTGTGTCCCGGAATTTGTACCAATCATAGCAGTTGACAATAACAAAGCTATGGTTAACAATTTATCTGAGAGCGCACAAGCAAATTCTGCTGAGCCAGAGACAGAGACTAAGTTACCGCTGAATAAAAATGACACACAGACACCTCAGGTCAACGGAGATGTTGAACCCTCGGACAATGATGTTTGGAAAGAAGTTAAGAGAAGAGTCAAGCAGCCGCCTAAAGATAAGCTTGCTGAGAAAAATGTTAAAGATCACAAGGAAGAAGAGCGGGAAGAGTTGGATTTTCAGTTTGATGAAGAATTAGACACTCCTCCGCCTACCGGTCGACATAATGCATTTTCTGAATTGTAAGATTTTTATTATTATTATTATTATTCTAAAATCGGTGATTTTATTTATTAAAGAGCATTTATTATTTTTAAGCCAACAATTAAAAATTTTTGATTTTCAAAACAATTTTAATTGGGATTATATAAAAATTAAAGTGGCCCAAAAAAACCGACTATTTTTTTTTTTTTTTTCAGTCTCGAGTGAAAAAATGTTAGTTTTTGATGTTTTAAGAGCCCTCTCCAAAATACAGCTCAAAAAAAAATTTTTAAGAGGTCGCTCCAAATTTTTTAAAATTTCAAAAATCGAATTTTTTTTTTTTAATTTTTTTTCTCGCAATGGTATAATTTTATAGACTAAAAAAAATAAGTTTCTGAAAATTTCAGTTCAAAATTTAAAGTTTGAAAGGTCGCTCATTATTTTTTACTCAGTGAAACTTTTTTCGGTAACCGAAAAAATAATTCGAATCACTTATTATTATTATTTCCATTTTTTTTTATCGCATCCAAAATCATAAATGATATATAAAAATTCACGGGTAATTGAAATTAATAAATGACAAAGAAAACAATCATGTTATTAAATTAATGTGTTGTAATCCGAGGATTAAGGATCATGAAATAAGTTAATACTAGATTTTTATTTTACGCAACGTTTCGGAGTTTATTACTCCTTCCTCAGGCGTCTGTGGAAACATACAAAATTTATACAATTAATTATTTTAATACAGAACAACACCTCAAAATCTCTTAACTAACTCAATATCACATACCATAAAAGATTTATGTATTAACTTCGTCAACAAACAATAAATGTTGCTCTGTCGTTTCCATCGTAATCTACAAATTCTAGTCAATACCCGAGTTATCTTAATTTTTACCAAATATTTACTTCTTTAAAAATATTTTTTTAAAAAACTTTAAAAAATATTATTATCAAATTATTTATTTTTATAAAAAATCTTAAGAGACTAAAATCGTAGCTTAGAAAATTTTCTACAAAAAATATTATTATTTTATGGGGGGCTATCTTCAATATTTTAGGAGATACAGCGAATTATTTAGTCCTTAAAAAAAATGATCAACTTTTAAAATATTTATTTAAGAAATTATTATTATTTTTATTAATTAATCTTTTTTTTTTTCATTTTAAGGTCGGAAGATGATGAAGATTATGAACTCTCTGATCGAGACATAAATAAATTGCTGATTGTAACACAAACTGCAAATATACCATCTAGACTTCCAAAACACGACGGTCATGATCGTACCGGTGATTGGACGACACGCGTTAAGATGAGCCAAGATTTAGAGCAAACTATTAACGACGGATTGTATTATTATGAAGAAGATTTATGGACTGAGGATGGACAAAGAGTAAGCCACGTTCAATAATAAAATAAATTTATTATTTTTAATCAATTAATAAAATTACTAATTAAAATCATTTTTTTTTTTTTTTTTCTTAGTACGGATCTTCGTCATCTATTGGGAGTTATAAGACAGTAAACCTGGTGAGTCAAGAAGCATTTGAAAAGATGGCACCGAAAGCTCCGCGCAAAGCCAACCCCGAAGTACCACCACCTCCACCTCCACTATTTGCCTCAGACCCAGACTTGTCTCGGTCACTTCCTAACCAGTTGTCGAATTTGGATGACAAACGTGATCGCAGAGGTCGTAGAACTGAAAGATTCCGTGGATCAAGTCGTGGTAGACGAGGTACTGCTCACAGATTTTACGCTGTTGTTAAAGATGAAACTCCAATTGATCCTAGAACTCCACGGAAACGTAAAACACGCCATAGTAATAATCCACCTGTTGAACATCATGTTGGATGGATTATGGATGTTAGAGAGCATCGGCCTAGAACTTATTCTACTGGGTAATTTATTATTATTATTATTATTATTATTATTATTATTTAGTATGATTTAATATTAAATTTTATTATGAATATTTAATTAATTTTTACAGAAGTAGTACCGGTACAAGTCCAATTGAAGGTTTTCTTGCTAGTAGTTGTGGAAGCCAACCTTCATCACTGCCAGCCTTCCAACATCCAAGTCATTCAATGCTTAAAGACAATGGTTTTACCCAACAAGTTTACCATAAATACCATTCACGGTGTTTGAAAGGTAAATATAAAATAAAAATAATTTTTTAATTAAAAATTAAAAATTAAAAATTATTGTCAACCATTGATTATATTTATACACTTGAAATGATGATTCAATTTATTTTTGTCTTCTTTTCCCGACATAAGAATCGTGTTGAGAAACTTAGATCTGAAGTTTTTAATACTAACTATAAATTTATCTCCTTTTATTGAGAGCAAAAAATTAATACATATGTACCTTTTAATTACTAAATTTCAGAGCGATCAAAATTGGGAATTGGTCAGTCTCAAGAGATGAACACACTTTTCCGTTTCTGGTCATTCTTTTTGCGTGAAAATTTCAACCGCAAAATGTATGAAGAGTTCAGAAGTATCGCCAAGGAAGACGCAGTCGAGGGCTATCGCTATGGCCTCGAATGCTTGTTCCGATTCTACAGTTATGGTCTTGAGAAAAAATTCCGACCACATCTTTACAAAGATTTCCAGACTGAAACTATGGCTGATTATGAAAATGGTTTGTTATTTAATATTATTAATTAATTATAATAATGTCATTGCAAAGGTCTTGGCTTGAATTTGTACCTTTTCACATCATTCTCACAGATAGTCAATTTATTATGAAAATTATTTAGGCTGCATTCTAAAATGCTCTATCTCTGGATACATAATTAAGTAATGATCTTGTATCTTGTCAACTAATGACATTTTTAAAGATATAAGCTCATTTCGATGTTACTCTCATCGAGACCTTTCATTTGAGTACCCACATCAATTTTTCATATATTTTATATATTTATATATATCACAAATACCATATATATAAAATATATAAAAATTACCATGTGGGTACTTGAATAAAAGGTCTCGATGAGAGTAACATCAGGATGAACTTATATCTTTAAAAATGTGAATAATTAAGAAATTACTCTGTATCTTGTCAACAATTGACATTTTGAAAGATATAAGCTCACCTCGACAATACACTCATCGAGACCTTTCATTTTAGTACCCACATCAATTATTCATATATTTTATATATTTATATGAAAAATATATCAAAAATGCATGTGGGTACTCAAATGAAAGGTCTCGATGAGTGTAACATCATAATGAGCTTATATCTTTAAAAATATCATAAGTTGACAAAATTCAATATAATTTCTTAATTATTGACATTTTTAAAGCTATAAGCTAACCCCGACATTACACTCATCGAGACCTTTCATTTGAATACCCTCATCAATTTTTCATATTTTTTATATATCTATATATTTCACAAATACCATATATATA